TTGGCTTTGCCCCCCTGGGCTCTGCTGTGCAGCCAGCCCAGCAGCAGTTCATCCCTGTTGCCCTCCCAGCAGCTGCATCCACCCACCCACCCACCCATCAGCCATCCATCCATAATCCATCCATCCATAATCCCATCCATCCCCAGGGACACCCACCCTGTGTGTGTGGGTCCCCAGGCAGGTCCTGGCAGGCAGCAGCCCCTTGCAGGGAGCAGGGAATGTCCCTCCCCTCTTCCATGGAAGCAGAGGGGCTGTCTGAGTGTGTGTGGGTTGCAGGGGGCTCAGCACCCCTCTGTGCCGGGAGAAGCCAGTTCCCAGCCAGTCCTGCCTCCTGTCTGCCTTGGGAAATCACTTTGCTCGGAGCTTCAACTAGTGCCACTAGACTGCAGCAAACTCCTGGTTCCTCTGTTGAGGCAGAGCAGAGGTGAAGGCAACGGTTTGACCAGGAAAACGAGGACAAGGGGTAACAGTTTTAAACTGAAAGAAGAGAGATTCAGGTGAGAGAGCAGGAGGAAATTCTTAGCTGTGAGGGTGGTGAGAGCCTGGCCCAGGTTGCCCAGGGAAGCTGTGGCTGCCCTATCCCTGGCAGTGTTGAAGGGCAGGTTGGATGGGGCTTGGAGCAGCCTGGGCTGGTGGGAGGTGTCCCTACCCATGCAGGGGGGTGGGACTGGATGATCTTTAAGGTCCCTTCCAACCCAAACCGTTTCATGATTCCGTGATTCTATGACTCAAAACACCCCAGATCCAACACTCTGCTCTGGGGAGCCCCAAGGGGCACTTCTCTTCCAAGAAGGAGAGGAGGACTGTTCCCCTTGGCACAGAGTGGTGAGGGCTGGGTTCTCAGCCAGAGCTGGAAGGAATGTGGAGCTGTGTCAGGAGCAACACTGCTAATCAGGAACAACACTCCCCATCCGAAATGGCACTGCCTGGAGCAGAGGGGGATGGGACTGGCTGCCTAGACCTTCCCAGGGGAGCTGCTGAAGCCATAGGGCAGGTGCCATCCAGGACTTGATGAATTATCAGAGCAGCCCTGGGCACCAGCCCAGACACATAACCCACGTTTCCCCTCCCTGCATCTCTGATCTTGGTGTGTAGAAGAATGCAGAAAGGATCTGGGCAGAGACCTGGGCCCTTTCCTCACCCCAGAGGCTCTGAGGAGGAGCAGATACACCCCAGGTTCATACACTGCAGGGCTCATGGATGGGGCAGGGTCAGGACAGGCAGGTGCCTTCACCAGAGCCCCACAGAGGCCAGACCAAGCACAGACAGTGTGAGGGGAGAGGGACCAGTTTGGTTCAGCCTCTTCACTGGGCAGCACTGCCCACGTTTGGCTCAGCAGGCAGCTCCCTTGCCTGCCCAGAGGCTCCAGCTTGGACCACAAATATAATATTTAACAGCCTATGTTCCCCGAACACTGAATCACAGGAGCTGGCACTGACCTGGAACAAACTTCATGAAATGCTGAGATGGATGCACAGTTGAAAATAGCAGCTCCTGCTGCCTCTCCTGAGGCCAGCACCTCACCAGGCTTGATTTATGCCTGTGCTGCATCATTATTATCCTCCAGAGCTGCAGGAAGCTGGCACCATGTTAGCTGCTGGCTGCATGGGCTCCAGCAGCAGATCCTGCCACTCCTTTGAGATGATTCCTGCACTAGAGCTGTCCTGCCTGAATCCATGGAGGAGGCAAAAGAGCTTCTTATTCTGCACTTGGGCTGTTCCTCAGCATCTCCCCAAAGCAGGGGACAGGGCTGGGCATCTTCTGCAGAGAGGCAGAGTCAGCAGGACCTTACCCTGGAGCAGATACTGGCCGTGCTCGAGCTGCACCTGCAGAGGAGCACCCTTTCTGGAGGAGAATCCAGGGACAGGGAGGGTGGGAAAGCTGCGTAGGGCTGGGTTGTCTGAGACCCAGGACCAGGCTGGTGTCACTGCTTTGTCCCCACTCCAGAGCTGGCAGGCAGGGCTCCACTGCCAAGAACCAACATCTCCTTCCCAGGTGTTGCTAATTCAAGGGTGACCCACTAATTGGGGCCCTGCTCACACACCCGCCCTGCTCACACTCACTCACACACACCCACCCCCCCGCCCTCA